ATAGATGGATGGATGGATAGATAAATGTAGATTTTAACATGTGAAGAATAGGTTGAAAGAATATGTGAACAAGTAAAACAATATTACCTTTTTTTTTTACAAATGACTTTTGAAGAGCACTAATCATAATGTTTTAAACCAAACAAAAATATCTAAACAATGCCATCTTTGGGAAACTGTCTACAAACAAAGCACAGCTCTCATGATCTCTATAATTCTGTTTTGACAGTATGGCTGCAGATTCTGAAATATCTGCAATCCCTTTGTTTACAATAGCACCTTAGCTATATGATTTAAATCAGTGGAGATTGAGTTTAAATTTTTCTACAATTATTTAAATGCACATTTCAATTTTCCTGAATTGTGCAAAAGTAATTTGGAAGATTAATTTCTGAAAATACCTGGTGGAATTTGCATACACCAAGCATAATTATTATTGATATTTGCATAGTTCTTCCTGCCCACATGCATGCACTATTACCAACTGCTACACAACCCATGAAATTATTGAAGAAGTTGCTGTCAGTACAATATGGATTCATCAATAAATGTTCAGCCTCACAGAAGAAAAACAAACTTCGCTGTTCCTCGGTAGAAATGTGCCATTCTGTTTTATTTATTTATTTGGGGCAGAATCTGCAAAGATAAATCCATACCAAAAGAACATAGCAATCTTTTACAATAAAGATTAATGATATTGCAAAGAACATCTGGGATACATGAGAGATTGAAAACACCATTGAAAAAAATCTAGAAAAGCAGGAGGGATTAGGCCATGTTGGTGGAGGAAGACAGTAAATACACCCAGGCTACAGAGGGATGACATATCAAACTGTAGCCAGGCAGCTCCACCACATGTGGTGAGACAGAATATAAGCAGACATTTGAACTATGGGGATTGGAAATGCCTGATGAACATATGTATAGGTCAACTAACTGCTTATATAAAGTGTTATGGAGGAATATAAAAGATGTTTTTTTTTTAATTTGCTTGAATGATATGATCAAATAAAAAGAAGTATAACAGAAATTATGCAGGGGAATAATAACTTTACATATTGCCCACTACATGTTGGACACCCTATTAAAAGACATATAATGGTGTGTATTTAATTGTTATAATAAATATATTCATTTAGCTCACCAGCAAATGTTGTATACTCTCTTGCATTTATCGTGTTGTAAGGAACTGTGAGGAGCTACAGAGATGCTCACATCCAGTCCTTAAAAGCAAAAAGCTCACCATATAGGGCACAAAACAGATACTTTTTTTTTTTTAAATCTGTATTTTGTTGACATAGAGGAAATAACAATCAACCTTGTTGGGGATTGGAGGATGGTTTTCAGAGGAGACAAGAGTAAGATTTAAAAGGGTAAATAAGTGTTTTCCCAATCAATAAGAAAGGAAGCACATATTGGCATATTGGGCATTATGCACAAAAACACAGTGTCATGAAGTGGCAGAGTTTGAGTATAATACCAAAAATATTCCATCGTTACTGGGAGTTGGAGAAAAGTTAAACTTGAGTGACTGCAGCCTTGAGTCTATATTGCTAAATAGGCAATATGGAGCCACGGAAAGATTTTAACTAATGAAATGATATAGCAAGATCCCATCTCTCCAGAGACTCCATAGATCTTGGTCTTATAGTATTGATTCTAGAAGGAGGGAAGTTGTTACAATTAGTAAAATATGATAAGGAAATGAAATAATCACATTGGGAGAGGGGACCAAGAAGATGAGAGATCAAATATTATTTGCACATTTTAGGAAATACTTTGTCATTGAATATACTTTTAATCTTGATTGCTCTCAATGTATTATAAAATGAGTAGTTTCCCAAACTTTTTTGACCACCCCCCAATTTGTATCAGGAAAAAAAATGAGAATTGACCTGTTATAACTGTTAACATACTGGCTGGTAGATCAACTGATTTGTCACTAATGCTAATGGCTGTGAATTCATGTTGCTTTAATCAATGTATTATTACTCCTACACACTTGACAAGATCAGAGTTTGCCCTCTGCTCCCTCCAATCTCTTATGCTCTTCCTCCTTGCAATAGGTGTCTAAACTGGACACTGAAAAGACTTCATAACACCCAATATTCCTTTGTTCCCTAAGTCTAGTCATGCATGATTTTCAGTTTCTTCCAAATCATTCATGACGTTTAGATAGCTCTAACTTCTAAAACCTCTGCCTATCAGTGACTTTTTTCATCCTACTAAGACTGCCTTAATTTCAATTTCTTCCTTGGATTGAGACAGCCTTGCTAAAATGCCAGTTCCACTCTTACTACAATGTGACTTTTTACAAGTTATTCTAATTAACCTTACTTTCCCCATCTGTAAAATGGAATAATAGTACATTTTTTCATGGAGCTGTAGTGGAAATTCAATGAGTAATTCATGTGATGTTTTCGTACAGTGCCAACACTCACAAGCAATCCATTTGTGAGCTTGTTACATGTGGTCTCTCTGCTGCTAGACTCAGGTGTTACCTTCATCTCACCAAAGGATCAATCCATCCACCATAGATTGTGTAAAAGTGGTTTTCTAAAACAAAAATTTGACCAAATAATTCTCATGCTGAAAGCAGATTTTCCATGCTTTTTTTTTTTATCAACTATAAGACAATCTGGACAATTTATAGGATAGAAAAGGTCCTACTGAACAGCTCGTATTTGTATTTCCAGTCTTGTTTCTGCCTCTCCTTACTACACCCCTTGTTGAATAAATGTCCTGAAATATTTGCAACATTTCACATAGACCTCCCTTCCTCCCTCTTGCATTTGCTGTTCCCATGCACAAAACACCTTCCCCTTGCTCTGTAACCGTTCCTTTATTCTGTGCAGTTTTTCTTCATTATTGAATTCCAGTGGTGACTGACGTGAATTCTTTCCTGGATTCCCATGACTAAGGATGGAGTTCATTATATCCGCCATTTATGCTCCCAAGGTCCTGTCCCTATTCCTGGGTCTTAACGCCCTGCATGCTGTACTGTAATTACCTCTCCTGCCATGGTCCACAGTGTCCTGTACTATAATTACCCAAGGAAGTAGCTGCACCACTAGATGGTGTGCTCCTTGAAGGATGGGACCATGACTTACTTGATCTGTGGCCTCGGGATCCAGCAGAGCAATGTCATGCCTAATAAGGGCTCAAGGAAGCCTTGGAATGTTTCCCAGGTAACTACATTTTCAGTGACTTGTATGCTAGTGTGTCTGTGTGGGTTTTTTTTCTAGGAAACTTGCCAATATCCTCAAGCCCCACGTTTATGGAATGCCTTTGGTTTTGTATTTTGAAGCCTTTTAGAATTGATGCACTAGCAGGGGGGAAAATCCCACATTCCCCTGTAAGCACAGCTTATGTGGTTAGAAAACACATTGGGTAGTTGAAAGAACATGGACAAGGGACTCTAGCAAACCTGCACTTGACTCCCAGTTCTGTTAATTTGCAGTTGTTTGATTTTGAACAACTGATTTTTCTGAGTTTCAGTTTCCTCTTCTATAAAATAAAGATAACAAACCACAGACATTATTTTGAGAATTCAATGAGATGATATGTTTTAAATATTTAATATATGGTATGAAATTAATAAATGATCAGTTATTCTAATTGTTCTTTTTATCATCCTTAGATTTGATGAACATACCACTTCACATCTATTAGGATGACTATTAAAAAAAAAAAAGAAAGAAAGAGGGGCTGGGGATATAGTTCAGTTGGTGGACTACTTGCCTAGCACAAGCCCCCGGGGTTCAATCCCCAACACCACCACCAAAAAAAAAAAAAGAAAGAAAGAGAAATACCAAGCATTGATGAGAATGTGAAGAAATTGGAACCCTCATGCATTGCTGATGGGAATGTAAATGGGGCAGCCACTATGGAAAGCAGTATTATGATGGTCACACAGAAATTAAACATAGATATGGTCCAGCAATGACACTTCTGGATATACACACAAAACAATTGAAAACAGAGACCTGGACAGATATTTTTATATAAATGTTCACAACAAAAATTATTCACAATAGCCAAGAAAAGGTGGATTCTACCCAAACGTCCATCAAAAAGTGAATGGATAAACAAAATGGGGTGAATCAATACCATGGGACTATTACCCAGATTCATAAAAGAAGGGAATCCTCATCCATGTTGAATCTGGATGACACGAGGCTAAGCGACGTAGGCTAGGCACAAAGGGACAAGTACCGCCTGATTCCACTGAGCTGAAGTGCTTGTAGAGCCAAATTCATAGAGATGGAAGGTAGAATGGTGCTTCTCTGGGAGAGGAGATGGTGGTGACTTATTGTTTAATAAATACAGGGTTTCAGTCTGGAAAGAGGAGAAATCCTATGAATGGATGGTGGTGATGGTTTAAACAACAGCGTGAACGTACTTATAAGATGCCACTAAACTGTGCACATAAAATGATCAAAGTGGCAAATTTTACACGAGGCGTGTTCTATCACCATAAAAACACTCGATGAACAAGACTCAATCAGATCTGCCAGAATAATTAAACAGCTAGAGTAGAACCAACCACATGGTTAAACTCCTCGGAGGGCCATGGCAACGTTAAAGAGAAGACTCCATGTTCCTTGAGCTCTAATCTGATTCTTGTAACCCGGAATGATGACACACATGCAGAGACTCTGGGGCCCATGGAGACACAACCTGGAAAGGGGGCTTGCCAGGATCAGAGAGCCAGAGCCAGCCCATGTATCACTCACCCAGTAGACAGCCCTCCATGGAGAGAAAGAACCTCATAGTCCCCTAACAAAGAGGATAATAAATTCCGATTAGCCAAGGAAGCTCTGAGTCTAAATACCAGCACAGCTCAGCCCCTGCGAGTGGGGACGAATTATCTGAAAGGTCATCCTGGAGACACTGAACAAAGGGCCTGGAGCAGCTGGGTCCCTTAATTTGAGGAAACACTGAAGCCTTTAAAGAAGCCAGAGGCAGAACTGGAGAGATGGGAAAGTGGAGCAGGCTTCTGAGCACAGAGAGGATTTAATAGGAAGGGAAACACAAACCCCGCAGGGAGCTCAGGGCGGGCAGCCGGCGCTCCTCGAGGCCAGGCCGAGGGCCGCTGGAAGGGGCTGCCATCACCCACCCTAGGCCGGGGTGTCCCTGTTTGGCTCTGTAATAAAACAGAATGGCTCTGATCTCAGCGATTAAAGCTTTAAAACTGCAAGCTTCAGGGAGGGAGTAGGTCCAGAGGATCAGCCTGCCAGCCACCCCTTTCACTCTTCTCCAGGCTTGGAGCTGCTGGCAGAGCCCAGTCTGGCTCCAAAACCATTCCAGGGACCTCCTGGGAATCTCCAGCCGGGCCTCAGCCAGTAAGTAGCCTCTTACCTGGGTCCTGCTGTGGCATCCTCAGAGGTTGTAAGCTGGAAAACTCCATGGGAGGGCCAGGTGGCAGGCAGGAAGTAGCCTGCTGGCCTGGAGCCAGCTTCCAATAGCCCCTCTGTCCAGAAAACCCAAAGAGGGAGAATGAAAGGGTCGTCTTACTTAGGTGAGAAACCAAGTAACTGGCCTCATCCTGCACAGAGGGCACTGCAAAGAAGGTAAGATGGAATCAAATTCCTGAGTCCCCGGAGGGACAGAGAAGTAGTTATGGATCCAACCAAGGACTGTGCTAAGGAAAGGAAGACAGAAACCTATCTGTATTAAGGACATACTGTTTGATGGATTGTTCTCTTTGACTTTAATCCCCATAAAAACAACTTTGTATGGTGGGTATTATTATTCCTGTTTTAGATGAAAGGGAACGTCCGGAGCCAAAATTGAAACCAACATCTGGATGGCTCTAAAGTCTTCTCCACTTCACCATGCTCCCCCTCAATTAGGCCTTTTGCAAATTTTAGCTTCCTGTTTCTTGCAAATTGATACTAATTCATATATTTGAGGCCCAGAGAAGTTTACTAGCTTGCCAAATATCACACTGTTAGTGAGTTAGAGAACTAGTACTGGAATTCATTTCCAACCGGTTCCAAAGCCCATGTTCTTTCCTTCATGCCTCATGTATCTTTAGTTAAAATAAAATAATCCTGTGGCTTTTTGCCAATCAGAAAACATTTTGCTCCCTCAATCTTGAAGCTTAAGCCCTTTAAAGAGTAACTCAGTAATTATACTGCCCCAATGCCCCCAGAAGTCACAATTTACTGCAGAATGAGGTGATATGAAACAAAACAGACACATCTCCCAGGCCAAAGAGAGGCTGTCTGGATTACTTAGACCTGACGACTTTTATTGAGAAGATCTGAAGTTCATTTTTGTACAAAAAGCAGTGGAGAGTGGTGGCAGTATGTATGTGTGTTAGCATGTTTAGTTCCCAGTGTGGCAAATGATTCAAGTTTTTTGTTTTGGGTGAGATAAGACCAAGTGGGCTTGAGCGATGGAAATGGCCAATCATTTCTTGAAGGGAAATTCTGTGTCATCATCCAAAGCAATAAAAGTGGCTCTCTCTTTCACGATTCACATAACCCAACAAATGCAACTATCCTTTTTTTTTTTTCCCCTCAGACTCAAATTCTGCAAGTACGTTCATGTGAATAGGAATATATACTGATGTAATCAGATACAGCTCTTGTGGGAAATGTTGCCAATTGCAGGAACATACAAATTGAGAGAAGTGGAAATCATGTAGGATGCTGCTTATCACCTTATAATTTCAGTCAAATGACAGAGCCCTCTTTAAGGATTACTCGTGATTAATGAACAGGGAATAGTTAAACCACATGGCTGAAGGAGACCTCTCCATTGTTAAAGAACAATCCTAGGGCCAGTAAGCTTCCAGAAGTACTCTCCATGCTGTGGAAACTTGCATAGTAAAGGAAGCATAGAGCATGAGACATCTTTAGTAGTGGGAGAAAGTCTTTCATTGCAAGATTTGTCATTTCAGAATTATACTCATAGATATCCTGGAAAAATTCCTTCCACAAATGCTTATAAATGTAAAACCAGAAAATCCATCTGTTTCGATGGATGGCTGAGCTCATATGTAAAGGAGATCCTTGGAGGTCAGAGATTTTCAACATGAAGATCTAAAGCAAGATTGAGGGCTGTATGCAGATGCTGCAGGTCCCCCAAGGTGACAGAAGGCAGTGGAGTCATGATCTAGAGGCTTGGGTATTAATGTTCATGTTGTGATATGAAATGAGTCTTGAACTTCTGTGTTGTGGGAGGGTCAGAGCTAAAACATTGCATAAAACCAGGATCTATGGAGAGTAGCATGTGCAATAAAAAAGATAAACCAGAAATGATCGGCCTGCCTTCAAAGAAAAATAACAAGGAAGTTTGTCTCTCTCAACTAGGTTGCAAGTATGCTAATATCTCTCCCAAATTTGTAACCACCAACTTGCACGCATGAATATCTGGGACTTTAATTTATACTATTCATGTGATTCTGGAACCTCCAAGTTGGAATATTACACAAAATAGATTCTAGACTTCTCATATGCCTGGAGCATCCAAAAGAAGTAAATATTGTCACCCATCTGGGAAATACTTTCAGTCAAGAATGAGCATAATTCTCACATAAGACCTGATCAGTCCAAAACTAAAAATATGTCAGAAAATTAATCTATTATATGGGATTGTCATCAGAAACAAAAATTGTAGACCTGAAACCTAAAAACTCTGGTAATTAAACAATTTCTTAGAGATTATATAAGTATATATATTTGTTTAAAGACATTTTAAATCTTAAATTTAAAATCAAGACACTGAAAAAACCCCAGATGTTTGTAAAAAAATGAATTAGAACTTCTAGAAATAAAAATTTAATCATTGAAATAAATAAACAATAGAGAATCTATAACTGCTGAGAGAACTTGTAAACCAAGTGATGGATTTGAGGCCATCAGCTGAAACCAGCAGACTTGGTGGAAATAACCTGAGACTGGGGCCAGAAAGAGTAGAAGAATTGTTCAGAGTAAATACCACATCAAATTAAAAATAGAAGCCAGAACTTGTGAAATGTTCATTATGTACAAGACACTATTATAAACATATTACACACATATCATTTCATGTGATCCTTATGATAATTCTTTGAGGTAGAATGCACTCTCTCCATTTTATTGGTAAAGAATCTCAGAGAAAGAAAATTGCTTGCCTCTCATTACACCAACAGTTGAAAGATCTGGGAATCAAACCCAGATCTGTCTCACTCGAGTCCATCTTCTTAACCACTAGATTTGATTGCCTGCCCCATTAGACTAAAATCCAATTTTAATCAGTTGTATAAGATTACATGGCCTGAGCATAGGAAAAAAAAATTATTCCTTATCCTGAAGACCTAATAGAGCCTTTCACCAATATATTTTATACCTCTCTCCTTGCTGGTAATAGCAGAGTTTGATCTACAGCTCAAACTGTAGTCCAGAGGATTGTGGAAAGCTTGAACAGTTAGGCACCTGATGCCAGAATAGGAAATAGGCAAGTCTAGAAGTTCTCTAAGCCTGCAAGGCTCAGGAAGATATTAGTGATCCGACCTGCCGTGGAAGAATCTGAGAACTCAGTAAAATGCTAGACTATTGAGGTGACTCTGAAAGTCAAGGTTAGCAAAACATCCAGAATTTAATAGGTTGGATATTTAGAGAGATCAGTATTATCAAGGTGCAATTCTGGCTCAAGAATAAAGAATTATCTTTTTTTCTCTCTTCTGTTATCCTTTCATATTTCCAACAGAGGGCTGATAGGCTGAGTCCCCAGAGGAAGCCTGAGAAGTAAAGCAAAATTTGCCTTAGACTAGGGAAGAGACAGAGATGGTGAGGAAATCATCAGACTCAGTGTGACGTGCCCTGCCCACGTTAGTCTCTAGAAGGTGATAACACCTGACTTTGTGCAGGTAACCATTTTACTGAGGTTGTTATACAACTATTAAAGCTCCCCACAAGCATTTCTAAGAATAAATATTTCATATTCCAAGGATAGTTTCTCAAAAAGAAAAAAAAAACAGTGAAGACAGTTACCACACATTTCTAAGAAATAAATGTAAACTGCTGGAAACCTGGCAAGAAATGATTACATTAGTAACCTAAGTGTAATGCCCATAAACAAAAGTAAAAGCGAAAAAACGTACTTTGGGACATATTTCCTTGACTTTTGGATAGGATCTTCGGGATCGTCAAGGACTGAAATATTTATGATTATAATGATTACAGGAATATGGTTTTCAAATCTTTCTCTCAAAGAATTCTCACAATCCTCTGAAATTGATACCATTCTCTTTAATTTATAGTTGGGAAAACGGAGGCAAGGGTAGTTAATGGGAATTGCCTGAGATCAAATCACTCATCAAGGGACAGCCAAATTCCAAATTCAAGGTTCCCTGATTCCAAATCCCATGTATTTTCCAATATCACTTGGTGCCAGGTTGATAGCTGACTTGAAGAAAGCATGTGCAGAAATTATGGTTTAAATGAATCTAATATGGTGAAATTTATCTAGAATAAATGTATCAAGGGTAAATTTAAGGTACTGCCTGAATATATTCCAAAATACTAATCAAATAAGTATGAGAGATTGTCCCAGCAGCTCATTGAAAAAAATATTCAGGAAGTATGGTTAGCAGGAAGAACAGCATAAATCAATACATGTGACATGAACCACAAAAACTGGCACTTTAGTGAATTTATGCTCCAGCAGGAAGAAAGATGACTCCTGGAATCTTTTACTCCATTTTGGGGGTTCATGTTGAAGAAGAAAACATGTGAAATAAATACAAGTTGTTCCCCAAAGAACAAAGATGGTAGAGTGTCAAAATGTCACCAGATAGAGCTGTGATCGAAAAACTCATATTTAACCTAGAGAATCCATGATTAGAATTCAAGATATTCCCCTCCACCAGACAAATGTAGCGAACTCAGAACTTTTAGAGTAATAGAAAGATACCTCCTGAGTTAATATGGTGATTACAACACTACACCATGGAATGATGCTTTCCTAGTTCTGTTTTTGCCAGCTAGGTGACCTTGAGTAAGTCACTAACATCTTGATGCCTCTGTGTTCTCATCAATAAAATAGAACTAATGATGAATGGCCCCTCTCTCATAGGAATATTCTGAGAATAAGATGAGATCATAAAATTCATAAGTTTAACACATTATTACTATTACAGAGATCTCATTACATACTACTTGTTGTTACTACGGACCTTTCTTCAGTTAAGACAGCCACAAGCTAAATCAATCTCAGCAGGCAAGATGGCAACTGGAAGGCTGCTCCCCATTTCCTAAACTTTCAGAATTTCCACACGCGGCTTGGGTGAAACAGTCACTTGTTTGAAATATCCCTTTGCCCAGAACCTTTTGACTAAAATCCAAACTAGCCT